CCTACTGAAGGCAAAGGCCGATGTCATTGCATATGGGCCTCCGTCGGTCAGTGATGACCATGGATTTGATCCCACTTGTCTGCCCTGCTGGAACATTGCCGCCTGTGGCTAAACAGGTGTGCGAGTAGCGGTCTCTGTCACACAAGTCGCACCTGTGGATTGTCTGCGAATTGTCTGCGCTACAGCATTCTTTTCTGCTGGTCCGTTTGTCTTCTGCTACGCTGATCAGTTTCTCCTCTCCTGTCATCGGTTGTTTAGTCAGGGTGCTTCTCCATCCTGAACAGTCAGCAGGAATGTCCTCCCAGTCTTCACTGTTGATCTCAAGTTTGTATTGTAGGTTGACAATGGCATTACAGCCTGTTTGGCATTTTATCCAGGGAATATTTATAGTGTGAAATCTGTTCTGGCAATTTGGGACCTTATAACAGTGTTCGTGGTAGGAAAAAATGCTTTGTGATCCTAAACTGTAAAGACCCGAGAATCTTGCGTATGCATGCACCACAGGGGAATGCCTGAGCCAGAAAGTGGCAAGGTCTGTTGAGGGGTTCGGGCTTCCCCTGTAAAATTTGGAAATTTAGACATCGTTTCCTTGCATTTATCAGTTCATGTTGTCACCAGTTGCAAGTCAAATTAGCTGAGAGAAACTCTTGTTTATTTTGTTGTTTCCTTGGGGAAAATAAGTTTTTCAGTTACTTGTTACCAGAACACAAAATGCTTTACATGCAGAACATACAGGTAGAAAATATTGTGTGTGAAATGCAGATTTATTTGTGTGAAAGAAGCAGGTTTTTGCGTTAAAACGAACACTGACCTTGTAACCAGTTTGACATTATATTCAGGATTTAATGGTTAGAAGATATTTTCTGGCAACCTTGATCATTATAAGAACTTCTGCATTATACCCTGGGTGGACTGTATATGACAAAGGAAATGTGGTTGTCCTCATAATAAAGAGGTTGACATCCAGAACTTCTCTCCCTTGAACATGTCCCCTCCTCCACTCACTATGTAATATTTTGTAGCCAATTGCTTGTTTTAGCCAAGACTGAAGCTTTGCAGGGTATTAAAATGGATACCATGCCCGTCCGCTCAGTGAAGCAACTGAATCCGTCCGTCCACAAGTGTCCGTGCACATTTGTCTTTTCCGGAGCTGAACTCTAAAACCATTCACTATTTCTTCACCAAAGTTGGCACATAGATATAGATCTGGTGGTGTACTGGTGGCTTTTGGGGAGTTTTGGAATTCTGAATAAAATATTTTTGGCTTTTCCGTGGCAACAAGTTTGACTAAAACAGAAATTAGTGGTAGTGCACTTTTCCGGAGCAGAACTCTAAAACCGTTAAATGTTTCTTCACCAAACTTGGCACATACATAGATCTAGTGGTGTACTGGTGCCTTTTGGTAGTTTTGGATTTCTGAATAAAATATTTTTGGCATTTCCATGGCAACAAGTTTGACATAGCCTGAAATTGATGATAGGGCTCCTTTCTGGAGCAGAACTTTAAAAACCTTTCAAAACTCGCCTTCCACTTTTCTATATACACACCTAAATATTTGACATAATCATGAAGAGTATTTTGCCATTGCTGGGGATATTGATGACTTTGTCTTCTTGTTAGTTTGACATGATCCTTCCCATGATGTCAAAATATTTGTTATGTAGGTGAACAAATATCATCAATATTGACCGTCCAATTTCTCTGGGATTGCCTCCATAAATTAATATGATGATCGCACTCTTACATCTTTAATCTTTGCATGTAATCAAGTTTATGTTCAATTTAGTAAACCCTTCTGTGTATGAAAGAACTGTATGGTGAATAAATGAGTTATTTCCATGTCGTGAATCATGTTGTATCTGTTGCCTCTAACAGAGTGGTGTACTTTCAAGTCATGTTATTAGGGCTGCACAATATAACCGGTTTACCGGTATTTACCGGTTCAGACATGAAAACGATATGTATTGCTATACGCTGGTTGAAAACCGGTATTTTGACTTGCATTCGGAAAACTTCGTAACACTCGGAAATCATTTGGTAACACTCGGAAATCATTTGTGCCAAATATTCTTCACATTTTTATTTTATCATGATTAACAGTTGTTATTAAAGCTTAATCAAGCATAGTGATTTTGTTGTGTTTTTGCTCTATAAATCAAGCATTAACTCGCTTATAAATAGTATTTTGTTTAAAAATACTTCAGGCAATATATTGCAATACATATCGCAATACATGCTTTCGCATCGCAATATATTGCAATATGAATTCTGTGCAATACCCACCTTTATTAGTTATGCAGTTGTGGGGCTGACCACTCTTGGATCAGATCTCACAATGGTGACTGGATTATTTGAGAATGTGTCGTTGAGTACCACAGCGTTCACCACTCATCATCCAAAACTGATCTCCACAGGAGATATCACTTGATGAGAATAATGATTTATCATCCAAAACTGTGTTCACAGGAGATCCACTTGATGAGAATAATGATTTATCATCCAAACCTGATCTCCACAGGAGATATCTCTTGATGAGAATAATGATTTATCATCCAAACCTGATCTCCACAGGAGATATCTCTTGATGAGAATAATGATTTATCATCCAAAACTGATCTCCACAGGGGTGGAAATGACTTTAAAATTGCTAGTGTACTCCAGAACAGTGGCACATGTAAAAATCACCTGATCTCCACAGGAGATGCCCTGATAATGATTTTCATCAAACCACTCCACAGGAGATATCAGCCATTTTACTTTAAAATTTTTATTTTTTAACAAACAAAGTCAATTTTCTCTGACACAAAGTCCGATACAGTGTGATATACAAATTTGCTTGCCCGACAGAAAAAAACACTGGACTCGGACGTCGAGCAATGGGTTATTTCCACCCCTGGTTCCATAGGAGATATTGCTTGTGTGAGATCAAACGATATCTCCCAGGAGATATCGTTTTGACAGTAGATTTTGTACAATGATCCGACATCATTTACACGACTCAAAATGTTATGACGTCAAAAAACTGATGACATCACAATGCTATGATATCGCTGCACTGCAAGTCAAATGGCAGTACCATGTTCAGAGATGTACATTTAAAAACTAATGAAGAATGATTTTTGATGATAAAAAGAATCTCACCCTCGTGTCTTGTAATATGAAATATATCAACATTCGTTGATAAAAGTGAAAATATCCTCAGCAAGCCTTGGATATTTGTAATTTTATCAACTCAAAAGACACTCGGTCGGGTGGGACTCTCTAGATCTGCTAGTAAATGTCAGTGTGAATGAAATTGCATCGCCAATTTGCAGACCATTGTGACATCACTGGTTACCATGGTGATACATTCAAATGACATCACTATTGTCTCTGCTTCTAAAGCTGGTTTCATGTTCTTTTTTCTGTGAAGATGCCGCTCACTACTTTCTCCAAAATGAAATAGCTGGAAGAATGCTGATGATAAATAGTGTCTCTCATGAGTGACTATTGATATCAAATATATTAGAACTAGTTCATAAAAATTTAGAAATCATCGCCAAGCCTTGGTGTTTTAACATTTTTTAGACTCATGTTGATATATTTTTTTTTATCCAAAGACAAGTGAGATTCTCTATCTCATTAAGAATACATGTATAACTGAAAGTTTGAAGGTGGTCCATGTTTAACTGTTAAACAAAATACTTGTACCATTATAATATAGGAAATTCCCTGTGATAAATACGGAGTCTTCAGTGGCAGTATGTTGTTTAAGTAAATCAAAAATCACGTAGCCACAATGGCAGTGAGTATCGGCACAATTGTGAAGATCCAGGTTAAAATTAGGAGATAAACTGTGTTGGAAAGTCAGAGGTATATAACGAAATTATATAGCTCTATTTTTTTTATTTAAAATGTCATGCTACACTATTATAAAGATATTATAATTTCGTTATATAGTTCTGATTTTTCAACTCCGAATGTTTATCTCCATTCTGCTGTATTAAGATTTTCAAATATACTGTGTTTGAAAATCAGAGGTATATAACATGAGTATATACAACTGAATGACTTAAATTAACCCTTCACAATCCAGGATTTACTGAAGTCATGGTAGAACTAATCTTCAGCAACCCAAGCTTGTAACAAGACGGGACTAACGGGATCGGGTGGTCAGGCTCGCTGACTTGGTTGACACATGTCATCATACCCCAACTGTGTAGATTGATGCTCATACTGTTGATCACTGGATTGTTTGGTCCAGACTTGATTATTTACAGACCGCTGCCATATAGCTGGAATATTGCTGAGTGCTGCGTTTAAGAACAAACCAACAGTATGGACACTAGTGTTGGGAATTGGTTGAAATCTCACAATTGATGATTGCTTCATTACCAACGAACAATCATCGAAAAAAATTGGTTTGCATCATATTTCAGATTTCCTATCAAGGTTGTTATTGCAGATAGGTATAACATGATGCAACTTGCTACTTTAAAGTGATGACTAATATATCATGACCATAAACTTCCTGGAGTCTTCAACAAATATTCAGTCATGACTTTTCAGTTAGTGAATTGAGTTTTCTAAGAATTAAACAAGTTTGCAGGCCCCGACAACTTCAAAGATATGTTCCATCGTCAAGTGTTTTAAAGACTAAATCAGCAGTTCCAAAATCCTTTGTGTTCGATTATGAGAAAGTGTGATTGATTGCTTGGTCGTTTGGTCACTGCGACCAATCTTCGATTATTTCAATTAATCGGACCACCACTAATGGACACTGCTTCAATCAAACACCACATGTACACAAACCGTTGACAATAACTTGCCTAACAGCTATTACTATCAACAACTATCAACAACCTGTGAAGATCCAGGTTATAATGGGTCTTAAGCAACGAAACTTAACAAACTTACTTGAAGTATTAGTCAAGATAATTCACGTAATAAACAGTTGGTTTCATTGGTCCAAACTCTTGGATGAAAAATATAATTTTATTACTTCCACCATGTATTTCCAGGTGACAGCACTGGTGGCAACATAGCAGCTTCAGCGGCAATGATGCTGAACAGCAATGAACAGCTCCCCAACGTCGTGTACCAAGTGCTCATCTACCCTCCTCTTCAGGCCTTCAACCTGCAGCTTCCTTCATACACCGACACCAGCAACTACCACACCACCACCAACCTTGAGATGGCGACATACTGGTCACACTACATCGGACCCACATCGCACCCAAACCTTCCTAAAGCCATGACCCAAAACCAGCATGTGTCGCCCGAGATAAAGAAGACCCACTTTTCCGATCTGGTTGATGTGAAGAATTTCCCAGAAAACTATTACAGTGGGAAATGGGAGATGGATAAGGAAAGTGGAAATGAAACCCTGTGGAGCGAGATTGAGTTCCAAGTGGTCAACCCCTATCTGTCCCCTCTGCTGGGTCACGAGATCGAGAAGGTCCCCACGGCGTTGGTGGTTACAGCTCAATATGATGTGCTTAGGGATGATGGGATGTTATACGTTGAACGAATGAGAAATGCAGGGATTAACGTCACACATCGACATTACCCCATCATTCATGGAATGATCGGAACTAATGAGTTTGAAATTTCTAGAAAGGCAAGGAAAGAGATTTATCAAGAAATCAAAGCTTTTTTTCATCCTGACAACACAGAATGATTGTAAATATGGTACAGTAGTATTTGGACATCAATAGGACCCTATTAATTAATCAACAGAATATCTTGAACAACTGGGAGAATTCTATGGATATACAGCTTCTGTATTATTAATGTGAGAAGCGTTTTAGTGTAGCACTAACTCTGTTATCAAGTAATTTAGCAGCTACACCTAAATTAGTTCACATTGATAATAAAGAAGTTGTATATCCATAGAACTCTCCCAGTTGTTTATCATACAAATTTCTAAATGCCACTCAAAGAAGTTAACAGAATTTCTGCCCTGTCAACTTGGTTCAATACCACCCATCTCATTGTGGGTAAAGGGTGGACCAATCATCCAAGGCACACATGTTATGGCGGATCAATTCCATCGCTGTGCAGAATTCCTTCGGGTGTCTTCAAGAACTTATGATTGAGGGTTAGAATATTGTTTTGCCCCAGGTCTATTTCTAGGCTTGTCAGCACCATAGCCATCCATGTACATTGGTTTTACCAAACTTGTAAATGTCTGCCACATGCATCACTTCAAGCTTTCCTTCCACATGAAGCGGGGCGGTGGGGTAGCCTAGTGGTTAAAGCGTTGGCTCATCACGCCGAAGACCCGGGTTCGATTCCCCACATGGGCACAATGTGTTAAGCCCATTTCTGGTGTCCCCCGCCGTGATATTGCTGGAATATTGCTAAAACTAAACTCAGTCAGTCAGTCCACATGAAGCAGACGCTGGAATATTGCTCAAAATGGTGGCAAACTCCAGTCACCTTATCTCAGCAGAGGTACAGATAAGCTGCGTATCGGCATATATTACGCAAATATTTATGTGGAAACTCAATTCCTATTAACTCTATTGTGTACAAGTACGCCTGAAGTTTTGAAAAAACTCAATAAATTTGATCTTACATGCATACAAACAAATCTAGATAAAATAACTGAGGTATATATATTGAGAGGTTCTATTTCAGGAGTTTTTATTATCGTTTCTCATACAACAGATTAAATATAAATAAGAAACATGTAAACCAACATTTATTGGAAAATGGCGAAATACCCAATTGAGTTTGAGTGAGGTGAGTACAATTTATTTGGTTACTCAAAGCAAAATTAGGATACCCAATTGAGATGAACACAGGCGAGTACATAACTCAATCACCAAGAAGTTATCTGTACCTCTGTCTCTGTATATGTGATTTTGTCTTCATGGAGTTTCTGGAAGATGTCAGATTTAATTCAGTATTTACTTTTTGAAGTATTATTGACGTATTACAAGTAATGGTATTATAAGATTATTGATGCCTGGTCATCATAGTGGATGAAATATATAAACATGTTAGTGATTCTGTCAGTCCAGGGGCAGATACTGCTTTTTGAGATAGGGGGATGCACTCTTCAATTTCACCCATTTTCAACACAGGCCCTCGTGTCCTTGCGGAGATTAAAAAAACAGTTTTTGAGATGACCCTCGACACTAAATGCTACACAGTACTGTACTGTGGAGCATTTCGAGTCAGGGGTCATCTCAATTTTTTATATATTTTTCTTGCCATCTTTAATCCTCGCAAAGACACGAGGGCCTGTGATTTTCAAAGGTCATTTAATAAACTTTCTGTTGGGGGGTCTCTTCTGAGGCAGTGGATCCGCCTATGCAGTCAGTCCTAAATGATTATCTTTGCATAATTTAACATTCAACCAGTTTCAATCAAAAAGTTTATCTATAAGAATTATTGCTTCACATGTAGTGCATTTCTATTCAGGTGATAATTTTGTTATTATTTTGATGTATTTATGATATCAGCATATTGACACACAGCTGAACTGATATATTAAAATACTGCCTCTTACGATGTTGTTACGGTTACAATGGGAGTATAAAAGGGAGACACACCAGTTACCTGCTGAGGCAGTGATGTGCCTTGGCCCACACATAGCAGGGTTATGCTTTGACTCACCTTCAGTAGTGTTGTCACGTGACTCACCTGTAAAAAGGCTGTGCTTTAACTTCCCTGCAGCAGCGTTGATCCATGACTCACCTTTAACAAGGTTGTATTTTAACTCACCTGCAGCAGAGTTGTCCCATTTCTCACCTGCAACAAGGTTGTGCTTTATCTCACCTGCAGCAACATTGTTCCATGACTTACCTGTAACAAGGTTGTGTTTTAAGCCACCTGCAGCAGAGTTGTCCCATTTCTCACCTGAAAGAAGGTTCTGCTTTAACTCACCTGCAGTAGCGTTGTCCCATAACTCTCCTGTATCAAGGGTGTCTTTTAGCTCACCTGCAGCAACATTGTTCCATGATTTACTTGTAACAAGGTTGTGCTTTAACTCACCTGCAGCAACTTTGTTCCATGACTCACATGTAATGAAGGTGTGCTTTATCTCACCTATAGAAGTGTTCTACCAAAGCTCACCTATGTATTCTTAAGTGATATAAGTGAAGGAAAATATATTCAATCGTGTATAGCTGATAATATGTTATTATCGTTTTGAGATGATTCATGGGCATGTTCAGCCAAGCGACCCGTCACATATATAGCTACAAGGCTTTAAGCCCCTACTTATCTTTATACATACAACTACCTTGATGGTTAGCTTGATTATTCAGACTCTGGAATTCCAACCAGTACTCTGGTTGCCAGGGTAACAACGCTTTTGTATATTCTGGTGCTCCTATATAAACTGTAAATTGTTGATATGAATCTGTATATAATATCTACTCAAAGCCATGTATATATTTCATATATCATTTTACAAGTTGATCTCAGATATTGCTAGTGTGTTTATACCAAGCTTCCATGTATACAGATATCTACAGCTTCACATTCCAAGTTGTTATAGTTTTATGGACATGTGTTTCATGCATAATAGTTAAATTCACATGCTGAAATCCGCTGAGTTATACTTTGTGATCTGTTTTAAGTATATATGAGCTCTATTTTTCATTGTTGACTTTCACCTTTTGTATCACCAGAATATTTGTTCAAACCACCTACCCTTTTTATATGCTTTCTAATAAAATGTCATTTCATATATTCAGTGTTTGTGTGCTTTTTCACCCTTAGCCCACCTTGTCCTTAGCCAACTGTGATGTCATATTTTCTGCATTATTTGTCCATAACTATTTCCTGCAACAGTTTGTATCAAGTGAAGTGTGACTGGGTACCAGAAAGTTTGCTACTAAAGTTTAACTTTGTGCCAAAAGGAGCAAATTTATTGATTTTTAAAGACAGGATTCTAAGATATCTATCAGCAGATATGTATTGTGCAAACTGGCTTAAAACATTTAAATCAAATCAAATGCTACATTAAGATATAAAATCATTTTCATTTTTTGGATATGATACATGTATCAAAATCACCTGAGAAGTGCTGTGTCTGTTGGGGAAGCTGTTGTTCAAAATAAAATAACTGTGTACCACATGCTACATTTGGGATTACACTTTCTTAGTAAAGTACAGATTCTTGTACTTTTGCTGGGTTGAGTCCCATCTGGGATTCAAACTCACGCTCTCAGTCAGGCACCTAATCGCCAGCACACAAAGTCAGACGCATAAACAGCTCAGCCACCGCGACTTCCACAAAATAACTGTGCTCATATGCTTATTTCACACCTACATCTTCCTCAAGCTCAATTTTTTTAAACCATGTAAAGCTTTATATACAATATATTATAAAAAGGAATATTTTAAAGTTAAACAAGTGTTAAATTCACATGCTGCACTACAATAATTTCCTCAGCCAGGTAAGGTGAGGTGAAATTGGGTTTTACGTCATGCTTGAGGATATTTCGCTCATATGACCACCTGCGTGTGTATGTGTATGTGCGGCTGCTTGTACTAGCCCAGACTGAAGCTGGTTTTATAGTGCTAGCCCACTGAGATACCATGCCGCAGTGAAGCATGAATACCCCACTCACTCATTATACTGACTCTGAGCCGACCAGTCTTTGTTGTACCCATTAATGCCGAGCGCCAGGCAGGGACCAACAAGTACCATATTTTAACGTCTTTTGGTATGACGCGGTCGGGGATCGAACCCGCGACATTCCGCTCACCGGTGGACGCTCTAACCACTACACCACAGAGGCGGACTCAGCCAGGTAAGGACAGCAATTTTGTACATAATAGTATTCAATATTTATGGGGGGCATTTTCTTGGTACATAGATTTGGGGTGTGTGTGTGTCAGACACGGCAATTTATATTATGAACGGTCCCTAACTTTCTTATTGGGACCCTTCCGTTTTGTAGAGTGTTTGGCTTTAACCATTACAACTTGTTAAGGTGTATATAATATTAAGGTGTTATAATATTAATTATTATACCAAACTTGTTGACAAAAACTATGCATTTATGGCCCATAAGCATCATTAACAGGCAAATAATTGGTATTACAGTGTTGTCTATACAGGAATATTACTTTTGCTCATCAGTTTACTAATGGAACATTTATCAGAAATATTATTATATAATGTTGTATGAAGAATATAATATCGAAAATTGACAAAAACTATGCAGTTATGACATATATTTAAATAATTTTAGATAAATTGGCGCATTTTGACAAGCCCCATGGGCAATTTGACCAAAGATCTGAGGCATTTTGACCAAATTTCCTGGGGCATTTTGTAGCTGGCGTAAGTTGACTGACACCCATTTCAATAGATGAAGTATCAATAAATTCAGCTGTAGTAAGATGAAATCATGGTACGTTACCTAAAGGTGACAATAGGACAGGAAGTTGTATTGGGGCATGAAGGGAACAAGGTTTGATTAAGTACGATTACGGGCCTATTAGTTCAACACACACCAGGAAGCAAGGAAATAACAGAAGCAGAAATAAGAAAATGAAAGTTATTACATGTATCATGCAGTACGAATTTATTTCAATGCCGCATGTTTTGGAGCAAAAGCCGTCACTGCACCAGAGTGTGGTAGAGTACAGGTAATTGTTATTTAGCAGTATGGCCAATTCAGTTGATCACAGCTTGCTTGATGTACCACATAACAGTTTCGGTTTTCCGCCACATGCTCCATTTATTACATCCGGTCATCTAATACAAAACACATAAGCGGAACGAAATATTCCTCATCTCACAATATGTGACACGACATCCCTCCCCCATCCGAGAAATGCAGTAATTACTGTAACCTTATTGCTTAAACAAATATTAACATAAACTGCCATTTCTGCATAATCATGAAGTCTGGACAACTTGAGCCAAACAGCCAAGTATACCCCCAATACTCTGCGTTACACACTCCAGCTCTCGTGTGTCAAGTCATTATCATTATGAACATAATCAGAACTGAAACTAGATGTTGCGAACCACTGAACCAGCTCGAAATAACATGAAAACTGTATGTCCATGAAACTCAACTCTCGGTCTAGGCTGAAACGATGGTTCACCAATGAGATCCCAATCAGTCAAACATAACAAAGTCATCAAACTTCTCCAGAACAGACTTCTGCCTGTCAGAACTCCTTAGACACTGATCAATATCCACAGTCTCTGATTGGCTAGCTTTATTGTCGTCAACTCGTGCACTGGTTGGTTGGTTCTGTCAGGTTGTTCAGCTGTGACTGATATGACTTCACATGCGAAGTATTACGCCTATACTGAGCACCATCCTCACTTTGCACAGTCACCATGTTTCCTGCCTTAGACACAACTTCAACTGGTGTTGGGACACAGGTGTGTCTACCTTACTCATGTGTTCCCTTTTAAGCAACACCTTGTCTCCAGGAACAATCTTGGACTCTACGGCATGGCGTTTTTCATCGGCGTACAATTTCGATGAACCTTTCTTTTCAGCGTCTCTGTCACGAACCTCAGTCAGTGGATTCAGGAATCAAAACAGGTAACTTAGTTCTCACCTTCCTTCCAAACAAGGGGTGGTGGGGTAGCCTAATGGTTAAAGCGTTGGCTCGTCACGCCGAAGACCCGGGTTCGAATCCCCACATGGGCACAATGTGTGAAGCCCATTTCTGGTGTCCCCCGCCGTGATATTGTTGGAATATTGCTAAAAGCGGCGTAAAACCAAACTCACTCAGTCAGTCAGTCCAAACAAGAGTTCAGCTGGGCTTTTCCCCAGATATTCCTGTAGATATTCCCAAAAGTATGTTCTCATGACATGGATTGCCTGTATCAGTTTACTCCAACAACGGTCCTCGGGAGACTATCTGAAGGACACTGACATATACCTGCAATGCCTCTTTCCAGTTTTCCTTTGTTGCATGAGCAATCTTGAAACTCTTCAATAGAGACTGATTTTGTCTCTCCACCTGACCGGTAGCTTGAGGCCAACGAGGGGTACGCAATGGTGTTCAATGCCATTGTGAACTGAGGACCGTTGTCGGACCGTTGTAAACTGATACAGGCAATCCATGTCGTGAGAACATACATCTACAGTTTTCTGTGTATCCACGAACGGTCCTTAGTTCGTATAGAGATAATCTTGATAGGTATCTCTCTATTAAAACTATCTACTGAGTTAAAATCTATCTACACTCGTCAGATCTTCAGGTTTTATTTACGTTTCCTGAAGAAAAGAGAACATCATTGCAGGAAGAGTGGGCGACTTCGTCGACTTATCCAGTGTGTGCCGAGTCGGTTCCGAGGAGTAATTGCTGCCAATGGTGGCCATACAAAGTACTGACTTTGACGCCATCTTGTGGACTCAAGTTAACAGAAACACAACAATTAAGGCTGATGTTGTGGTGGCGAACTCTTTGTCTATAGACGTGTGAAGTTTCACCTTTTACCATTGAAATTACATGAAATAATTGCTCGTAAACTAACGCAATAAATTCTTGTAAAAATGGCATATGTCTTTCATTATTTGAAGAGTGTATTTAGTCAAGAGTGGGATTTTTCCTGTTAAGAAATAATAAAGGCAGGTGAACAAAATATGGTAAATACATGGAAACTGTCCTTTATGTGATCGAAGTATAAGAAACGAATATCATTTTCCGTGAATATGCTATCTATGATTAAACTAGAATTAAATGTAATATACATACATTTAGAAATGATATTTGCTGAACGGAAAAGAACATTAAAAAACTATTTATTTACCCTGTCTGTGACTCTATGTAGAATGTATTTGTGAAACAAAGTTTAAAATTATGCCACTACCATATATGCACCTTTATATGTGATATACAAATTCTCTGACCTTTTGGGATCCAATACGGGCCACTTTCAGATTAAGACATCAATGTTAAAAATGAATTGCTGGTATTTTAATTACCTATCAATATCCCCACCCTGGCTGATAGTGGATGGAAATGATCTGTTAGGCCGTCCATATTTTATTGTGTTTTATATGTGTTTGAAATTGTGCTCTAGGTGCCCATTCATAATTCAATATAGATATATACCTATAATGCACATACCAAAATGATACAATAACGCACTTCCTGGAAATTTGATCACGTGTTTGGTCCGACTGGTTGTAATCGCCTTAAGACCACAGCTATATCATCAAATGTAATTCCGGTGTTAAAGATCGAGGTATATATAACTCAATGTGGAGTCATTTATCCCAACTGTGAGAACTGCTCCGAGGGAGGGCAGTGAGGGAAAGTTAATTTTCACTAAAAAAGAGTTCACTTAAAATAAAACGATGTCTGACACAGTAATATACAGTCTTTTAAGGGCATTAAGAAGCGATACACATAAAGGCGAGAATTTATGGATGTCAACTCCTTATGTAAGGAACATCGCAGGTGTATTTTCTCACTCCTCCATCTGGTTAATGGAATATACTCCGAAACCTCGTGTTCCTCAAATGAAGAAGTTGATATCTCTAAATTTTTTGCCTTTATAAAAAGTATGCGACATATGTGACGTCTGACTAGATTTTGTATTGAACAGCGTATTAAAGGGTACTGTACACGATGATTTAAAATCAATTATAAATGTATGTGATGTATTCAGTATTTTTAAAATTTCTTTTCTGAAACGAGAGCTTCATCTGTCCACATTCTTATTCTGCATGGACAAAGAAATCACTTTATGGCCAAGATGTTACATCCGTTTGCTGATGTATGTTTGGATGAATGTGGGTCGTGTCTTATTGCCTTTCTCGATGGGCAAATCAGCTGAAGGGAGATCTCTTGTTGACCATTTTTAAATTATCATCGGTATACATGCACATATTTCCTCTGTATGAATAGATGATTATTGAAAGGTTAGAATATTACAACAAAAGTAGGACGTTGTGGTGTGTTGGCAGAGTTGGGCAAAATAAAAAATAACTAGATGCTTACACCACGATAAAATCCAACAAACTTACATGTATATCCGTAGGATATCTGTTCTTCCAGAATGCCAATTATCAGCAAAAATACAAGTCCAATTGGACCAGCTGTGCGGTTTATTGTCACCATACCCAACATGATACAATACCAGTATCTCTATTTGCACGAACATAAACAACACACATTGCAAAACAAAAACACCGGCATCACGTAGGTTATCATATAATATATATATATATATATATATATTTTAGATGTACATTTGAAAACGGCCGAAGGTAGATGAAGCCCGACACGTAAAACCAGAGATAAAACTTCTTTTAGAGTAAAAGCTCTGGAACCGTGAAAGCTCTGGAACCGTGTTCCCTCAACGTATGCAGCACTACCTAATCTACTGGAGGGTTTACAGTAGCAGACACGCATAATGCATTGTCATAAAATATATCAACAATTACGCATACACATAATCCAGCCTATGAAAATTCATGCTTGAGTTTTATAACGGCTCTGCAGCCAAACAAATTCCACAGGTGTATTATACGTAAAGACACCATCCGAGTTCCGAAGAAGAAAACTGTTCCATTGAACGGTAAGTTGTTATTGAAGGTTAACAGGTCCCATGTTCAGCCTGGATCGAGGCTTTGTCTTCCTGTCATGGGACAGTTCCATGTCTGCGCCCTCCTGCGTATTCCAAAGAATACCTTGCATCCATTTGGCGAGACGGCTGAGGGAGGTGAGCAGCGCGCAAATACAGACAAAAGGGTTCATATGTCTGAAAGAAAAGAGTCATGGATAAGCAGCATTAATCACATATGCAGAGGTGTTACAGTCAGAGTATGCCGCTTTCTGCTATTCTCCAGCAATATTATTCCTGCTTTCTATCCCATCATGTGATTATAAAATGAGGACATTACAATGTTTGATTTTTTAGTAAAAATATGCCGGAAATAGGAATGATTTCTACACACATTATCTTACCATTATCTTTTAGTAGTAAAAGGCTGATGTGTCTACGAGATGGCTTTTTGGCAGTCGGCAAGCCTCAAGAAGAGTACTTGATCCAGATCTGCCTATGGAATATCTTCTTGGCAGTCGGCCTGCCTCTGAGGGATTTTAAGGTCCACTTCTGCCACCAGGACGTCTTCTTAATACTATTAATACTAGTAAAAGGCTGCTGTGTTTACGAGATGTCTTCTTGGCAGTCGGCAAGCCTCCAGAAGTATACTTGGTCCAGATCTGCCTATGGAATGTCTTCTTGGTAGTCGGCAAGCTTCCAGAAGTGTACTTGGTCCAGATCTGCCTATGGAATGTCTTCTTGGCAGTCGGCCTGCCTCTGAATGATTTCAAGGTCCACATCTACCCCAAAGACGTCTTTTAGTAGTAAAAGGCTGCTGTGTTTACGAGATGTCTTCTTGGCAGTCTGCAAGCCTCCGTCAGCCACGTGGTCTTGGCGGTCGTGGTTCTGCCGGAACAGTTCTTGGTCCACTTCTGCCCATGTTACGTCCTAAAAGTAACGTTTTCATTACGTACATATTCATATCAGAGTTTATAAATCAGAAGAAAAATTTGTAAGATATAACTATACAAAAAGAGATTATTGTTAGCAAACATGGTTTTCCGTGTTTGCGAAAAGATGGTTTGAAAAATTTGCTTGCCTGGTCGTGTGTGTTCACTATGTCTCTTTAGAATTCAAGATCCACTTCGGTCCACAGGGCTTCTTCTTAGTTGTTCCTAGCATCAAAATCCTTCTTGTTGTCCTAAAAGTAACGGTAAAGGAAATTTCAAATCATTGATACTTACTACACAGATCATGAAATCGAAAAACATGTGCTTGGTGCAGAAAAACATGTTGTAACCTGCTTATCGAACTAAAATATTGTAATACTTACTTACATGTGGTCCCATTCGGTCAGTACATTGTCCTCCAAAGAGGCCAGCCGGGATTCATTCTGTCTGGGAACTACCTACTGAAGGAGTAAATGGTGGGTAAACACTAAGTTATGCCATCTCTATGACAGCGTCATGCAGGGCATGCATGAGGGGGCCCTATCTATGCTAACACCTAAAATCTACCAGTCAAGTGCAGTCAGCATTGGGCCTACTGGGGTAATGCTGAGAAAGACTGGGAGCCACAGAGCGTAGCGACCCTAAGTAGCTTGGTTGTTGCTGCAACACCATCCTGACGCTACCCGTCAGGCCCTAGCACCGAACCTCCTCCAAAGTCGGCGGGGGACCTAAGTGGAAGCCGAGACACTATGGAGCCACCATCAGACAAAACTCATCCCGTTGGCGTCCTGGAAAAGCAGCGTACAGAAGTCCGTGTAGAAAGGGGACGGAGGGACGGAATAACCAGATGCAGAATGTACCAGGGTTCCTGCATCTGAAAGAAATCAGTCATGGATAAGCATCATGAATCACAATTCTCACTTGTGGGAATCGAAACTGGGCCCTGTGCATGACAACCATTACTTCACGAGAACGACAACGCTACACCACCGCATGCTACATGCAGGAAAATAGTGCCGACATACAACGGGAGAGAATTTTCCTGAATACGGTACAAAAAACAAGGAAAAACGATGTATGCCTACCTCTAGCATCTTGTGTCAAGGTATTAATATATTACGTAGTTTATTGTACATATACCTTACCTCTTTGTACAGTTTCAGAGGGACAAAAATGTTGCACATTATTCAAATACTGTGCTCTCAAACATTTTGTGGAACAATGTACTCACATATCAGCGGAAAAAGATTTTGTATATTGTAATAGTATCGCATCAGGTGAAGAAGCGGATTTGCTTTGTTGAAAAGGGTATGATGATTTACAAGTTCTCCCATTTCCAATTATGTGATTATATACATGAGGACATTTAAACGTTTAAATGTTTCGTAAAACATGACGAAAACTGGAAAAAGTATAACTAAAAGGAACATAACTTGAGGACTATTTACTGACCAAGGAACACTACTCCACTTCACCGTTAGAACAATAAATATGACTTTTAATAAGTATGGGATTATGATTATGAAGTTATTCTGTGCCAACATGTGTTTCCTTTAAGGCAAGATACTACAAATCTATCATATCACGGTTGCTGAGAATACTGATAAAACTAGTGCGCTCTCATAAACAATCTACATAAGATTTCGATAGGAATATCGTTAATATCGAAGAATTTCATTACAAATGAAAGAACCTTAGGTCAAAACTACAATGAACACCTTTGTCAGTAACTAGTGTAATAAGAGGACTAACTCGTGATCCCCTACACTCATCACTCTCTACATGCCTGTATACTTTGGGGAAAAGGTGTGCACTGTACAAAAGACATCCTCGAGAACAAGCATATTTTCCATGTTTTCTACAACAAATTGTTTGAAAATCTTGCCTGTCCGGTCCTCTGTGGTATTCGTGGCATTCGTCCTGCCTCTGGGGGGAGTTCAAGGTCCACTTCTGCCCCCAAAAGGATGGCATCCTGGGTCCTAGAAGTAAAGGTAAAGGAGATTTCAAATCACCGATACTTACTACACAGATCATGAATGCACAATGCGTATGCTGGGTCGAGAAATGACTTTTAATGAGTCAAAGTATGGCATTATGATTATGCATGCATTCTGTGCATACATGTGTTTGCTTTAAGGCACGATAGTAGTAATCTATCTTATCGGGGTTGCTGTTATACTGATGAATTAGTGCGATCTGACAAATAATCTACACAAGATTTCGATAGGAATAATGTTAATATCGAAGAATTTCATTACAAATGTAATTACCTTAGATCAAAACTACAATGAACACCTTTGTCAGCAGCTATTGTAAGAAGAGGACCAATGCGTGATCCCCTTTCTTCCATGAATTTCTACATTTCTGTATACTTTGGGGAAAACGTTTGCACTATACACAGGACATCATCTAGAACAAGCATGTTTTCCATGTTTTCTACAAAAGATTGTTTGAAAAGCGTGCCTGTCCGGTCCTCTGTGGTATTCTTAGCAATCGTCGTGCCTGTGGGGGACTTCAGGGTCCACTTCTGCCCCCAAAAGGATGGCGTTCTGGGTCCTAGAAGTAAAGGTAAAGGAGATTTCAAATCACCGATACTTACTACATAGATCATGAATGCAAAATGCATATGCTGGGTCGAGAAAGGAGTTAAATAAAACAAACTATGGTATATGAATATGCATGCATTCTGTGCCAACATGTGTTTGCCTTAAGGCGAGATAGTAGTAATCTATCTTATCGGGGTTCATGTAATACTGATGAATTGGTGCGACCTGGCAAACTATCTACTCAGGATTTCGATAGGAATAATGTTAATATCACAGAATTTCATTACAAATGAAAGAACCTTAGATCAAAACTACAAAGAACACCGTTGTCAGCAGTTAGTGTAATAAGAGGACTAACTCGTGATCCCCTACACTCATCACTCTCTACATGCCTGCATACACTGAAGAAAAGGTGTTCACTATACACAACACAGCTTCTAGAACAAGCATGTTTTCCACGTTTTCTATAAAAGATTGTTTGAAAAGCTTGCCTGTCCGGTCCTCTGTGGTATTCTTAGCAATCGTCGTGCCTCTGGGGGACTTCAGAGTCCACTTCTGCCCCCAAAAGGATGGCGTCCGGCGTCCTGCGTCCTAGAAGTAAAGATAAAGGAGAATTCAAATCACCTATACTCACAACACAGATCATGAATGCAAAATGCATATGCTTGGTCGAGAAAAGACTTTTAATCAGTCAAAGTATGGCATTACGATTATGCATACATTCTGTGCCAACATGTGTTTCCTTTAAGGCAAGATAGTGGTAATCTATCTTATCGGGGTTGCTGTAAATATGGATGAATTGGTGCGTCCTGGCAAACTATCTACTCAGGATTTCGCTAGGAATAATGTTAATATCGAAGAATTTCATTACAAATGTAAGAACCTTAGTTCAAATCTACAATGAACAACTTTGTCAACAGCTAGTGTAATAAGAGAACTAACTCGTGATCCCCAACACTCATCAACCTCTACACAAATGTATACTTTGGGGAAAAGGTGTGCCCAATACAAAAGATATCCTTGAGAATAGGAATATTATTTTTAATAGCTTGCCTGTCCGGTCCTCTGTGGTATTACTAGCATTCGTCCTGCCTCTGGGGGACTTCAGGGTCCACTTCTGCCCCCGAAAGGATGGCGTTCTTGGTCCTAAAAATAAAGGTAAAGCAGATTTCAAATCACTGATACTTACTACACAGATCATGAATGCAAAATGCATGTATGCTGGGTCGAGAAAGGACTCTGAATTAGTCAAAGTATGGGATTATGATTATGCCTACATTCTGTGCCAACATGTGTTTCCTTTAAGGCAAGATAGTGGTAATTTATCTTATCGGGGGTTGCTGTAAATACTGATGAATTGGTGCGTCCTGGCAAACAATCTACTCAGGATTTCGCTAGGAATAATGTTAATATCGACGAGTTTCATTACGAATGTAAAACCCTTAGATCAAAACTACAATAAACACCTTTGTCAGCAGCTAGTGTAATAAGAGGACTACCTCGTGATCCCCTACACTCATCAATCTTTACATGCCTGTATACTTTCGGGAAAAGGTATGCGCTATGCACAAGACATGCTCGAGAACAAGCATATTTTCCATGTTTTCTACAAAAGATTGTTTGAAAAGCTTGCCTGTCCGGTCCTCTGTGGTATTCTTGGCATTCGTCCTGCCTCAGGGGAATTTCAGGGTCCACTTCTGCCCCCAAAAGGATGGCGTCCTGGGTCCTAAAAGTAAAGGTAATGCAATTTTGAGATTAAACTTGATGTTTTATACTTATCCTGACTCATGCTTAATTGATTGTCTCTTACTTCTTGCGAATGATAGTGGAACACTTGAATCCCCTTTTGAAGCTCCCTTCAAAAAAGAGGACGTAAAACCACTCGCCCAGTGTTTTCTCCCTTGTGACACATTGACGGAAAAACCACGTCACATGTTCGGACATGCCTCTCACTCTCTCCTGATTAAGCGCCCGACACCGGATTACAGAGAATGCAGAGTGCCCTGAGGGGAGTTTGGGAGGGCTTAACTCATGAGTCCGGATAAGTATGAAATATCAATTTTAATCTAAAAATGACATATTTTTCTTTATCCTGACTCATGCTTAATTGCTTGTAGAATTCAACGGGTCAAGCCACTCT